TGGTGTGGAAGGTCTCCCCACGCCCCTAGAGTGACACTGACCAGGAGCCTGGTCTGCAGCGTCTGCCCACTGGCCAGGGTCACCTGCACCCAGGGCACGGCCTCCGCCACCAGGCAGGGCCGCGGCCAGCTGTACTTCGCCACCTTACTGCGGTATCTGACCTCCACCTGACCTGAGAGCAGGAGGGCAAACAGAAAAAGGGAGTCACACTCTGGAGCCACGGAGCCGAGCACGAGCCGTGAGAGCCGACCGCACCAGCCAAGTAAAGGCAGCCGGTGAACATCTCCGGACACGCAGAGCCCTGTCACTTTTTCCATAAAAGAAAATAAAAAAAAAATAAAAAAAAAAAACCCAGGTTTTGGCTGCGACCGAAGCGGAATGGAAGATCTGCGAACTGCCCCATAAAGCAGTGCTGGTTTCACCCACTGCCAGGCCACAGCCACCAGAGCTCAGCGACGATCCACTCAATGGGCTAGGTGAACTGTGCAGCAGCACCCTGCCAATCAGGCGCCAAAGACCCTCCCACCCACACGCATCCCACCAATGAAACGGCAAGCAGGAAAACATGTGCATCTTGCATCTGGAAAAGGCAAAAAGATGGATAAAAACAAATCAAAAAAGGAAACAATGGGGAGGCCGCACAGCGCTGCCAAGCCTGGGACACTCATTTGGGGAATTTCAGCAGGGTTATAACGCCAGTCCTCACGCAGTCACGAGGTCCACGTGCACTCAGAATGAACGAGCCTGGGGTAACACGAGACTGCTGCACGTGCCCTCACACGCAGAGCCCGTCCGAGGCCACTGGTCTCAAATACCAGCGGGGACACGTGCTTCCCGAAGCCAGACCAGGCCCTTGTAAAAAGACGATGGTGGAAAAAGTGCAAATAAAGTGCAAGGGGGGACCGAGGGGTGCAGAGACAAACCAGCAAGGCCAGTGCGAGTCATGGTGCGAGAGCCGGGTACCGACCAGCGAGGGACTCCAGCTGAGCCGTCAGGGCGCTGACCACCACGTCGTTCTCCACGATGTAGGCCATCTCGTTACCCAGGTCCTGATTATCAAAGGTGATGAGGGCGTCCGAGCAGGCGTCCCAAACCTAGGCGGCAAACGGGGTGCTCACATTTCGAACTTTGTGCGTATTTGTGCGGAACTGAACACATTAAAGCTACTTGACTGGATCCCAAGCCTGGCCACCAAAACCTACATATCATAATATGGGCACCAGTGATCGATCTCTCTCGCTCTCTCTCTCGCACATGCAGCAAATTCATTAAACCTTCACGCATTGAACCCAAACAAATGCATCTATATGTACTGCCTTGCTCCAGGCCTCCTAAATCATGTGGCTGAGACCGAACTGAACTACCAACTCCCCTGATGGTGCCCATTTTTAATCCCGAAGTTGACCCACCGAAACCACCGCGTCCACAGGCTGGGAAGGGCGGCCGTGTAAAGTTTTTATTTCCATCAGGCTCCGAAATGGCAGGCGTCTCATGGACTGTTGATAAGCATGGCGTTGCTAAGTGCCACCACCGCTGCCTTGTTTAAAGATCTTATCCTCCCCCCCACTTCTAGAGAGGCCGCAGGAACGTGACTGAGCCACTATCAGCGGTCGGCTAGTGACGCCCAGCAAATATACATTTTATTTTTGAAGGCTGGTGTTGGAGGTGCTGATTTTCTTGCCTTCCGCTCACATCTCTTTCCACATCCATTACTGCAGGGAAGCCCTGATTGTGGGATCTCCTTTTAGGAAGGGGAGGGGGGAGTAGTGTGTGTCCTCAGCGATTTAAGGGGCCTGCAAAGGCACAGCATGCGCTTAAGACGGCCGGCAAAAAGCAAAGAAAGGCCGGGCGAGGACGGCGATCATCGGCACGGCGCATTGCAATGACATCTCCCACCGCTGCAGAAACCGCGCGGTTTCTTATTTGGTACAAAAAGGCCACATCTGACACCGGGGACGGCACTCTGGCCGCGGCTGTAAACCGGGGTCACTTTACTGCTGACATCCGCTGTCCCCTCCCGCTTTCATCCGCTTCCCATGATTCACTATAATTAGACGACAGGGATGACGGGTCTCCCATTTCAAAAACGCCATATTGATTTATCGCCCCTTCGTTAAAATACGATCCTAATATATAAACACTTTTCTTGGGGCCTGCAGGAACAGCCAGGGAGCCGCTGGCTTTCCAGTCGACCGTCCTCCCTGCTACCAGCTGCCCGCATGTGATGCTCTAAACCTTATCCTGGATAAAGTGGCAAGATGAGACCCCCATTCAAAGAGGCAGATGCCTTTCATGAAGGAACACGCAGCCTGGAGAAATGACACCGTATACCAGATGTAGACGGGGGGGGAGGGAGTAATAAAACTGAACAGCCGGCTAAGGAGCAGCTGTTTCAAATTGAACGACACTTACAAAAACCTTACGTCTCCCATAAAATTACATAAGACCTGTGGGCCGACCTACAGCTTGACAAATTGCGCATGGACCGCAATTACGGCCAAACCAGAAACGATCCACGGAGCACAGCATCAAAATTCACAGTGATGAGGGGGAAAGACCACACTGCATGGGAACCACTGCAAATGCGAAATTCACAGTGATGAGGGGGAAAGACCACACTGCATGGGAACCACTGCAAATGCGAAATTCACAGTGATGAGGGGGAAAGACCACACTGCATGGGAACCACTGCAAATGCGAAATTCACAGTGATGAGGGGGAAAGACCACACTGCATGGGAACCACTGCAAATGCAACATTCACACGAAACGAGCAGCCAGCTCAGGTGAATGCGAGATGATGGGCAGCAGTAAAGGAGCCGCTTCTTCGTGGCTCACCTGCATTCTCTGATAGGGTTTGTACCTCAGCTTCACAATGCGATTCCAGGCACCCACAGCTAAAGCACAAAATAAGAAAATCAGACTCATTGTATGCCTTAGGTCACTTACACGCGTCTTTCAGCTACGACTGGCACTAAAAGTCTTTATATAACATGAAAGACTAGCTCAGACAGTTACAGACTGCTGGAATGAACCAAAAAAATCCCACATTCACTGAACGTTAACTGTGCTTTACAAAAATGAGTTGGGTCCTGCCAACATTATTAGTTGGTAATGTTAGCACCATTTATTTGGTGGATGACTGTCAGTTCAGAGTAGACAGTGTATTAAACAGCAATAGTTACTATTGCAAGAATACATCAACAATTATTACATATTACAGCAAATTATTACATATTACAGCAAACCCATTGTGGTGGGTGGTCCATGATAAAAGAAGGGATTATTTCACACAAAAACAACAGTTTGGCATTAAAATAGACACATAATATCCAGCCAAAGCCTATACAGAGAGGATACTTTAAGGACAGAAAGAAATTAGGAAAAGGCAAAACCAACAATTATAATAACAATAATAAAACATTTAAAAACTACTTTAAGCAGGATGGCTATACCAATACTGTCATAAGTTTCAACTGTAACCATACAGTGGATAATTTCATAAAACTCATAAAGACTCCAGCATGGTTAATATACACATAAAGCAAGAAATCACAACCCTATATACAGAAAATATATGAAAAATAAAGCATTAAAACAGCCCTGACATTTCTCATCTTCACTTCTATGTTCTATGTAAATCTGTTAATACCACAATATAATGCATGCTTAAATTAAGCCAGGATCCTGACATGTTGTGTTCATGTTATCCAGGAAGTCTTATGGGTCTTTCCATCGTCCAACAGAAAGGGGGGGCTCTTGCGAACAGAACGATTGCATGTAAAGACCCAGTCTCCTCAGATAAACCTGTCATACTGGCAGTTCTACATACCACTGAGCAGATTTTCTGACCCTGGGCTGATGGAACTGACTCTGGTGCTATAGGCCTCGGGGACTTTGTCAATCATCTTTTTGTTGCCTGCCTCCAACAGAAGGATCCTCTTACCCTCCAAATTTGGATCCAATCCTGTCAAGAAAACAACACACTAAAAAAACACTGAAATCAGATCCGGGCAACGCAGACAACTTTATGCAATATAATGCAAAAACAGTAAATCACGTTTCACTACTAACACATGGGTCTTGTGGCATTTTAATAACCTATTCTTCAACAATACGTACTTGTGGTATGAGGACAGAAATATGCATTTAAACAAATGGTTTCATGAGCGGAGAGCTTTCAACTGCAAACATTTATATGTTAATTACAATCAAGTGACTCCAGCGACCTACCACGATTGAAGCATATAATACTATAAATTTACACCAAAACCGCAATTGCACCCGTTAGTCGCGAACATGTAGTTAGCTGAGCATTTGAACCGGACGAAATCACAGGCATTCCTTCATGTGGGTAGTGGAGAAGGCAGAAAAAGCCAGGGAAGATAACTTGAAGTTTTCCGCGTTAGTATTCAGACAGGGGTATATTAGCTACTGTAAATCTCCGTGCGAAAACCAAACATAATAGTTGAGGTCTGCAGCCTGCTTGCAGGGAGGAAACAAGTTCATTTGATTAGTAGTAGCTTTTTTGCCAGTACCATTACTCACCTAAAGAGCATGCCATTGCAGTCCCTACCATGCCTCCTCCAGAAATTATAACATCATACAGCTGGCTTTCGTTAACATTTGGTTCCCCGCCTGGGTTGGCGTCCCTTGCTTTACTAAAACCCGTGCTTAAGTGTCTCGCAGGATTTTGACAACTTACAGAAACATAACGCCCACCACCCTTTAAAATCCATTTGGCTTTAGTTAGACACAACATCCCAGTGAACATCCGGCTTCGACGAGCGAACTAGCAAAATTATCAGAACTGAAGTGTTTTTAAAGTGTTTTAAACACCCTTTACTTGCCCCCTAATCACTGTAACACACAAACCCGTGCGCACTGCGCAGCCATACTGTTTTGACGTACGTAAGAAATGTTAACCCCATGGAATAAACACTTCCGGGTCACGGTCGTCCAATCAGAAAAGGAGTTAAAAGTGTAACGGAGCTGCGCTACATCCGAAAAAAATGAAGCGTTTGCTGACAGCCATATTCGGAGGCACGGCGACTGCTCTCTTTGCAAACATTGCCGCTCAGTTTACTCAATCATATGTCACTCATAAATAGAAATCGGTGTTTGCAAAGTCCGTGACAGAACATTAAAACGTTTACATTTATTTTCCTGTGATTTTGTTATGGAAAAAGGTTCTGATATTTATACACAGCATAAAGAGTTACCAACGATGCCATATTGTTGAATAAGTGCAAATGAGTGTTAAAATAAATGTGAACATTTATTGCAGTAGCATCTGCAGTGTACATCAGCAAAATAATGCTCCCTTGCATTAAGTGGTAGTGATGTGAGGTTCCTCTCCATGCAGCCGAATGCGGCAGTGGGCGGAGTGTGTCAGCAATGGGGTCTCTTTAGCTCTTCTGTATCAGATGAAAAATGTACACAATTTACTATTACACAGTTTACGAATGTGATTTAAATAATGCCTGTCTCTCCTACCATGTCGTATTTTAACAAGCCAAAAACTGGAGAGCCTTTTGAAGAGGGACAGATAAACACCGAAGATGACTCTGCGACAGAACGATCGCCTTCCGCGAATCAGGTTGTTTTTGAGTTTATAAAACACGTTTTTTTGCGCAAGTGTATGAATGTTATATATTGGATAATGTAAAGCATGGTTTGTACCCCACACCGCTATACGTTTTAGTCCTTTTATATGGCTCAGTTGGTAAAATTAAAAAATACGGAGGTCATAATGGAATAGTTTGGCTTGGTTGACATGGCAACCAGCTCACAGGCAGCGCGACCGGCGAGCAACAGTAAGCCAAGCGCTGCTTTGGAAAGAAAAATCAGCTTATGATATATTCATAAGTCTTCATCTTTTAAATGCAAAAAGTGCATTAAAAATCAGACTATGACCTTCAGTGTGAATCATGATTTTAATTCAGAGAATTAACTTATGATAATTATAGCAATATGCAAAAGAAAACCATGTAATATTAGCTGAGTTCCTGGAATTAATTTGTTCATGTATTTAAACAACATATAAAAGTATTACGGTTAATCTAGTCATTTATATAGAAATACTTTGTGTGCTTTGTATGGTCTCCCCCCTAAGGACTCTGACTCTGAGGAGATGCTCAAAGACAACCTGCTGGCCTCCCAGTACCTAAAGGGAAGGAGCCCTGCTGAATGGGAGTTGCTGCTCCAGAGGAGGCTGGAGGCTTTACAGGAGGCCCACAGGCAGCAACTGCAGGAGACGGGCCTGCTGCTCTGCCAGGAACTGGAGAGGAGGATTCTGCATGACTCAATGGTGGCGGCAGGAAACGAGAGAAAGGCCAAAGTAAACGATCAGCTCTGCTCCTCTGACAGCCGGCACGATGTCAACAGAGATCCTAACTGCAGGGCCCCAAGGTAACAAGGTATATTTTTCTTACATTTTTATGAAGACTTGTGTATTTAAATAACCAGGCAGTAAATTTGGTAGTTTGTTTTTCTTTACAAAAGCATCACCCTGGCAGAGGAATATTCTCTAAAATCAACTGTAATAAAATAGATATAGCAAAATGTTTAAATGACCCAATAAGAAGGACAAGCATGTTGATCAGTTTCTTCATTAAATTTTTCACAGGCATGAAGGTCCACGGAGATCTAGTTCTTTGTCTGATTTAAACTCAGCAAAGGAAGCTGATTCAGTGGCTCCTACACAACGACAAATAAGCCGGAGACCTTTTACTGCTTCGACAGCCAGGCCTCAGGGTACAACTGTGCCCAAGCCCTTCCGCATGACTCTCAGGGAAACTCAGAGAAGATCTGAGCTTCTTCAGACCGGAGTCCCCCCAGATGCAGAAAAGTTGCTGGAGAACAAGAGGCAGATGGAGGAGATGGAGTGTCAGAAGAAGTTCCACGCTCTTCCTGTACCGGACCACGTGTTCCTGCCGCTTTACCACAACATCACAGAGGTGCGGGAGCAAGCTCGAAAAGCCAGCATGGCACAGAGGCGGCACGTCCTGCTGTCCACGCAAAAACCATTCAGCTTCCTCCTAAGAGAGGAGAAGAAGAGAGAGGAGAAGATATCTGCAGAAGCAAAAGGAGATACCAAAGGCACAAGTTCCAGCAAAGTTAGGTGGGCGATACCAAAAGCAGCCATGGACCCTGGAGTCAGTAAGCGTTTGATAGGTGAGGGTGGACAGCTATTTGATGGCCTAGATATCTGACCAATACTAGCCAAATCTTATTTGTCTCAGTCATTATTTTCAAATTTAGTAATTAAAATGAGTTATAACAACATGGTTTGTAAATTAAATATTGCTTGAGATATCATAGCATAATTTCACTTCAGACTTACTACAGAATGTGTGTTGTCTCTGTAGAGGAGGAACTGCACAGAAAGATCCGTATTCAGATAAGGGCACAGGACATGCTGAGGAGCTCCATGGCTCCCATAGAGGTGCGGCCCGACACCCGGGATCCGGAGACGTGCTCCGCGCAGCGCACAAAGAAGACAGTGCTTGGCTTCCTGAATGAGAAACCCACCTTCCAGCCTCGGACCAATCTCAGGGTGCCCGACTTTGACCGGCTGCATAGGACCTTCCAGAAGGAGGCCTTGAGGAGGGCCGAGAAGAAGGATGTGACCAGGTGTCAACCTTTCCAGCTGCGCACGTCGGCATTGCCACCGCGGCAGAACCAGAGGAGCCATGAGGAGCCAGAAGTGAGGCTCCATTGTACTATCCTGCTCTCACCTTCCCCCCCCCCAATCTTTTCCGTTTCTCATTCCATACAAACCCCTCAGAAAAAAAAGAGTACCAATTTGTACCTTTGCTTGTCACTGGGGTTGTACACTCAAGGGTTTGTCACATGTACCCCAGCTGTAGGTAGATGTACCTTTTAAGGTACAGAAATGTACTATAAGGAATATTTCTGTACCATTGGGGGTACAATAATGTTGTTTGTACCTTGGGGATGTTCCTCAGAGTCCATTTCTGTACCTTAAATTAGACTAAAAGGTACATTTACCTACAGCTAATAGGGTACAACTGGCAGACCCTTGAGGGTACAGCCCCAGTGACAAGCAAAGGTACAAATTGGTACTCGTTCTTCTGACAGTGTAGGGGATATAATGCTTATGGATTTCAGAGAAAATTAAGTGTTGAAATGCTTCAGGATCAAATAAAATGCTATCCACCCATAATATACAGGGGTTCTAAGAATTCATTGGCTATTCTAGGTATCTTCCAGCAAAAACCCAATTAGGAGAAGTAATTCCTTCAGTGGTATCACCTCACTGTCTTCAGACACTCTCCCAACATACATTACGGATGCAGTAAGGAAAAGATGCAGTGCAATCAGGTGAGCATTCATGTGCACCCCGCTGAAGAAAACTGGGTTCCACCTTTGGTAGCAATTTTTAGTGGCAACGTGCAGTTTCCCCACTGAAATTCAGGAAGTCTTTAGAAGAGAAGGAAAGCAAGGAGTGGAGGAGTGCGGCGTGGATGAATGAGCACAGGATGAAGTCACAGGCCATGAAGAAAATGGTGTGCACTCGGGCCAGGGCCATGGACCCCCACCGGAGCCTGAAGGAGGTGTTCCAGGAGAAGTTGAAGCAGCACCGGTGGGTAAAGCACTCGCTTAAGGAGAAGCCAGCAGCAGAGGTTCACCGCCTGTGAACATTTTCGGTGGATAGTCAACATGCCTGGGGGAATTGGCACGAAACGCCCTAATGTTTTTTTTCATTTCTTACCCCCTGCCCTTATATATTTCTGTACTTTTTCCCACACATTTAAGACATTTCAGCTCCACTGTTTAATGTACTTTTTAAAATTAGTCTGTTTCAAATCTGCTCATAACGATGCTTCTACTTTTCAGCTGAGGGTTAGAAAGTTGGGAAGAGTATACATAAACATCTGAACTGAATATTCGTGCAAACAAAACTCCGTAAACAAACTGAAGTTTCTGTGGTGGAATGGTATTGCCAAGACCAATTCTCTGCACTTTCAGGGAGATGGACAATCAGAGAATGAAGGAGTACAGGAAGGAGCTGGAGGAGATGAAGACTCGGGTTAAAGGTCGCCCTTATCTTTTTGAACAGATTACACAGGTAAACAGTCTCAGCCCTTGGAATTTGATGCTAGGGTTGTTTTTGCTGTTTCTTACTTAGGACCTGATAAAGACAGTCTAGTCAGTAGATTACCATATCTAGGGATCAGTGATTTGAGCAGACTTAGGGCGTTTTCCACCTGTGGTTCGGTTTCTCTGGATCTAATTAGTTGATGAGTTTGTAAACTTGTAGCACTTTCCCCTCTGTTCAGTTTGCATTCACACAGAGAAAAATCAGAGCAAAACAACAGTGCACCACTACAAACCATGTGAGAAGTTCATTCTGGTCATTCGTTATTGGTCAGATGAGTCTGTGGCAGGAGCAAGAAAGTAAATACAGGAAGAAGCTCCTGTGTCCAGGGCCAAGCAGTTGAACTTTTATGTATTGTTGCATCAGTTTTTTCTATTTTCACAAGGCACTGTTCAGTCAGCCGGTTCAAATCCTCTCTCTCCTTCAGCTGTTAACTGAACATTTTGAAAACTTTTATGAGTTATTTTTAAGAGCTGACAGATGTAGTCATCTGCACAGATTTCAAGGAGGCAACATACCTCACTGCTAGAGCAAGTAAGACCTCGGTTCATTTCTCCTTCTCCACCTAGCTGCCACTACTGGTTTGTGTGCTCTGCCACATCCCAGAATGCAAAGCGCGCCTGGCTACAGGAGCCGTTTAGCTCAAACTCACTGACTACACCTAGAAGTTGTGTCGGATTGAGTTCGGATCACGTTCACACTACAAACAAACTGCTCCACAGCAGTTTGTTTGGAACTGGACCGAGACCACCTCCTCTCAAGAGTCTCGGTATGATTCTTTTGGTACGCACCTCAGTGTGATTACTGTGTTCACACCTGCCCAAACGAATCACACCATGAAAGAAAATCGAGTCCATTTTAACCGGACTAAAAAGTGCTGGTGGTAGTTTGAGTCGTGATTCACAGTAGTTGTAAGTGAATCGGTGGTCAGTGACCCTTTGTGATGGAATTCTTCCCCCTAGAAAAATGCTAAGTGTGATGCAGAGAAGCGATACAGAGACACGCTCCTGCAGGCAGGATTGGACGAGCAGTTTGTAAGGACCAAAGGGGAGGAGGCCGGGGACGAGACCTCGTTGTTGTCCCATGAAGAGGGCGACAGCATTGACGATGGTCCCCAGTACAGGTACGAACGCAATCAGCCTGAGAATACACTACAGTAACCCTACAGAAAAGGATCTTCCATTCAAACATGATATAAATAATTCCAGCCATGGGTATACAAGCAACAGTGTTATGCTTGTGTACAATGTGAGATTATATAATACTTTTGGCAGGGTTTTAAAGCCATTGGCCAAAGGGAATTTAAAGCACTGTGGTCCAGGCAAGTTGGTCGTAAAACAATCATCGGCCATATTTAAACTTTACCCTTTTCTTCCCTGAAGGAAGGACACAAAAGAAACAACAGATGCTGAAGAGGAAGAAAATGAAGAAAGTACACAAAGCCACGAGTAAAGAAAAATGCAGCGACTGCAGTGTTTGAGTGAAGCTTTATAAATGTTGACACCGCATTTAACTGCTGTACGTCTGTGATGCAAGACATCAATACTAAAAATAGTGCTATAGAAAGTTAAGATTAAGATAGAGATCTCTGCAAAGTATAAAAAAGATGTCTACCATTTAAAGACCTTTTTTTTAACAAGTCACTAAGAATATTGTATACTTTGTTTTTTTGTTGGTCGGGACTGCATGTTCTGTTTTTTTAATAAATAATGTTTTAGTTTACAGGCCTATTAAAAAAAAAAAACATCAAAATGTAGGTGTGACGGCTACGCATGGGAAAATTTACACGGCGGGGGTTGAAGGTGAGGTGCAATTTGGATAGAGCCAAATATTCGGTGACCATCAAAAAATATAAATGTTAAGAGCTGCGGAAAAACAAACTCGCCCAAGGGGCACAAACTTAAACAGCACGGCATTTCGTCATTAAAAGAATTAAACAAACAGGTAAATTGCATAAGGGCCCCTTACATCTGGAATCCGCCACAGCTCCTCGGATTTATGGGAAAGAGTTTAAGTTCTGGGTAACCGATGGGGTCAGGCCGAGGCTACGCTATGGTATTTTCACGGTCCGCCTGCGATGGGCCGTGCCGAGAAACACGGCTGCTCCCAAACCAGCCGCTGAGATGGCTATAGATTCAGGATGGCCTCCCTGGATAAACTGGACCCCAAACAAACAAGCACAGTCCCAGGACATTTTCAGCTCGGGCGTCCCGATGTATAAGGGAACATGCTGTACATCTGTGTGGCCTGCATGGAAAGAACTGCCAGTAGCACTTAGACAAACAAACTGACTGCAAAACACACGTGTGGTCAGACGAAATAAGAATGGGGGGAAAAAACAACATATCGTTAACATTTGTGTTTCAGTCATTTAATAATTTACCAATTAAGAGCTCGTTCACCATTTACAATGGTTATCTGATTCGGGGAGTCTAGATCGCTTAGCTATTTGTGCTACAAACGGAAGTGGCATTTATACAGAACACTCTGCGTTTGTCATAGCCTGCAATATGGCAGCTACAGTCCCTTAGACCCGAGGAAACAGGTTTACACACCCTGATATTTTACATGAAGTCTGAATGAATTATTTCTTATCAGCTTCAGACAGCTGTCCTGAGCACCGTGAAGGTAATGAGCACTTTCCTTCAGCTCAGCATAAAGATACAGACCAGAGGCCTCCATTAAAAGCCAGGGGAACAGCCAGACTTTTTCTTTTTTGTTAGGTCCATTAGTCAACACCTGGCTATTTCGAGAGCTACGTACCGGTAAAGTAAGCTATTTTACAATTCAAATGCCATCACTGAGAGAAATTTCCCCACCACGTCCCACATCAGTTGAAGTCCTACATTGGCTTCCACTCTGTGTTTTGGGATCCCTCCCGAATATAAAGAAAAAACACACACCTTCTGTTTATTTGCAACTGGAAGATCCAGAATAACCATCATGAATGAATTTCATTCATGACTTTATATATAGAGTTTCCAATGTACAAATACTACTGCAGCAGCGCCACAACCTCTTCCCCGTAGCCGTGCCCTTCTGTCGCCATGGTGACCAGGTCATGTGGTTGGGAGAGAACAACTACAGAGGCGGAGGGACTGTCTTCCACCAAGGAATCTAGAAAGAGTGTGAGCAGACAGGGCAACAGTTACACAGGAGGGGAAAAGTATGTGAGCTATAGAGGCATTTTTAATGCAAAATGCACTATGAGGCATTTGAGCTAAAAAATGTCTATTACATTTTTAGCAAAATTTCTTAAAGATACAGAAAAGACTCCTACTCACTGCAAGATTTACTCCAAAAATTGTCTGCTCAGTTTATGAAAATGTGTGGGTAGAAATGAAATAGAAGAAAATAATTAAACTACAACTAATCAATCGAGTTACAATTCAGTGCTGGTAAACACTTTCTTTTTAAAATGCATTAATTGAAATGAGGCAGCGTTCACATCACCAGACTGTTTACTGTGCCTCAGATGTTTGTCAATTTTAACAGTGGGGATGATTGACAGCCACCTCCTTGCACTCGCAGCATCGTCTGGTGAAGGCTCATGGGCTCCATGGAGGTCGTCATGGCGACCATGTTGTCGCCTGCCACCCCGCGGTCCTCCAGCAGGCTGCTGTGCGTTAGTGCTTCCCCTTCCGACGGCGATAACACCACATGTCAATCGGTATCCGCATGGGACAGCAAGACCACCATGGTTTATTCAAACACTCTGCTGCACTCTGAGCACTAATTACCGGCGTCCTTGCTGGCTTGTCTATCGGCCGCTGAGCCGCTGTGCCGCTTCCGGATGTGAACGTTTCTGCTTCCGCTCTGGGAGAACGTCTTCCCGCAGATGCCGCACTGATGGGGCTTCTCGCCTGGAGGAGGGCAGGCCGGCAGAGACGCCAGCTTAAGCCAGGTGCCATTTCCAGCCAGCTGTGCGTGATATGGGCTGGGGATGGAACAGGACAAGGCAGGGGTGGTTCCATCCCCAGTCCACGTCTGCTACCCACCCTTGTCATGAGCCACCCCACCTCACACACACACACACACACACACACACACTCACCGGAGTGCACCAGCATGTGTTTGCGCAGACTGGAGTACTCTGTGAAGGAACGCCCACAGCCTACTGCTTCACACAGGAAAGGCTTCTCACCTGGTAGATGCAAAACATCACTTTTAGTGCACGATTTTTGCGGTCAGGTCTCAATACAGTGACCATACCCCCCCCCCCCCCCCACCCCAAATGCGTGCACTGATAAAAACCCTAATGGTGCTTTTCCACTGCCACCACAAAGAGCCATACTGCTCTTTTTCATTGTACATTGTGCAAGCCGTACAGGCAGACATGGCCCTGTTTACTGGCAGGATCGAAAGCGTGACCAAACCAAGTTGTGTCATCGTCACCTGATTGGTCTAAATGCCTGGAAATACCAGTGTTCTGCACATGGATTATCTAAAGGAAAAACAGGCACATTCTATATATATTATTCATTATTAGTATCGCACACCATGACGTATTGATGAATTTGGAACTTGAAAATTTCCAAACTCCTACTTAAAAAAGAATGGCTGAACAGGATGGATTCATAATGCAAATTTACACAATCTAATGCTAATTCCACTAGTACTGAATGCTAACATGACCATTGCCACAGATCTGCTAGTAGAAATTAGCACACAGTACATCATGAAGTACACCGTGTGAGCGGTAAATAAGCGTCTCTTCGGTTTTATGTCTCTGTCGCTCTCCAAACCCAGCAATGCCTTTACAGAGCTGACCCTTCTGCAGTGGAAAACCAAAGCGAGTTAGCACTAGTCTCTCTTCACGGTACGGGTCGGGTACAGTCTGGTTCCTGTCAGTGGAAAAGTGCCATAACTCAATGGAAAGATGATTTTGTAAAGAGGGATCAGAACATTCTGTTGAGTACCCACTGATCCATGTTTTAAATAGGGTAAGCTGGCATGCCAGTGGGTGAACTGGCTGCAGGACAGAGCAGGGCCCCTGGGTGGCGCTATACTGGAACACAAACCGGTGTGTGTGCGCTTGTGGTTCTTGAGGTTGCCGGCGGTGGTGAACTTCTTGCCGCAGCCCTTCTCCATGCATATGAAGGGCTTCTCGCCGTTGTGCGTGCGCATGTGCACCTGCAGCCGCTGCAGCACGTAAAAGCTCTTGCCGCAGCCCTCGGCGCCGCAGCGGAACGTCCGGTCATTTCTGCGGGTGGATTGACACAGGGCTGTCAGACCATCTCGTGTCCTGCTCTCAGCCTGCTGGGATCACTTATAATGCAGTATAATTCCCTTAGAACGCATTACGGAACCATGACTATATTTGCTAAATGAACTGATGCCTAAAGCCTTGTTTCCACCAACAGTGCCGGTACCAGATTTTTTCCCATTCCGGCACTGGTTCCATGTCGTTTCCCCGCAAAAAAAATGGTCCTGCGCCAATAAAAATGGCTTCAGCGCGGCACCACAGAAAAGCTGGGCTCAGAACGTAGCACCATAACGTCAGCGAGAGTGGGACGGGCTGTGGTGTCCAAACCTAATGCATACCTGGAAAATTCAATCCATAACCGATACAGTTAGTCTAATAATGGCAGAGCTGGCAGTGAACCAACTTGCCAGCTTATTAGTGAAATAAGGTTTTTTTTTATTCTGTGAAAAAGATCGATCTGCTGGTCAGATTTAATAATAAAATATAAATATGTCGCAGGTTGAATAAAGAAAATATTATTGCATTTGAGTGGTGAAGAAATCATGAGGCAGACAGCAAAGTTCAGTATTTAGCATTACTGCACGATCTTTAAAAGGACACTGGAAAAAACAGCAAGCGAGAATAAACTCACACACAGATAGGGGAGCCTTTACGGAGACAAAATGTTATAAAAATAGCTTAAAACAGAATGTCTTTGCTGAAAATAAGATACTTTACGTAAAATGTTAACTTGCACTAAAACATAAATGATGCAACATTACACCGTGTTTTTTTGTTCTGTGAAATACGAAAGATCATTCGGCTGGCCAGACTTAATAATAAATGTATAAATTGGTCACAGTTTGAATAGATGAAATATTGTAGCGTTTGACTGGCAAAGAGATCATGAGGCAGACTGCAAAGTTCAGTTATTAGCAGACTCCTTTATTGCGCGATCCTTAAAAGGACGGCTGTAAGACAGCGAGCAAGAATAAACTCACTTAAACACAGACTTCAGAGACAAAAGTGGATACAGGAAAGAGAGACAGTGTGCAACAAGTCATACTACGGAAACTTTTTTTTTCCAGTTCAGAAAAATAACTGCAAAATACGAAATACAGATTAACCTTTACCTCACTTTCACTTCCTACGTAACATTTTTGTTCCATGCCTTTTTGAAGCCGGTGGAAACGCAAGTTGGTTCTCAAAAGGCACCAAATGAGAACCAGCCCAGTAACAGCACCAGCTCCATGCTGGTGGAAATGAGGTATGAGCCTCAGCATCAAGAGTGACAGATGGGACCCCAAAGCACTAGAAGGAAAGGGTCTTACTTGTGGGTTTTGAGGTGGTACTTGAGGTGTGCTGGCCAGGTGAAGGTTCTCCGGCAGCCCTCGAAGGTGCATCGCAGGGTTCTCTCTGGGGTGGGGCGCTCATCCTCAAGCGGAGTCTCTTTCTTTGGTCCCTCAGATGGGTAGCTGTGCAGGTGCTCGTCTGTCAGTGACGGAGAAACAGGATTATAGCCACGAGGATGGGAATGTTCCAAACAACATCTTTGATCTCAACTCCCATCTCGCAAGCAACCAGCAAGTGTATATTGCTGGTTGCTTTACTTTACAGTAAACTAACATCATATTGACTTGTACAGCCATAAAAGTTTATAATAAATTTTGGGTTGACTGGAGTAAAATCCAGGAATAAATGTATTCATAGACATAGACCAAGTCAATGTTGTAATTATTCCTCAGCATTCCTTTCAGATATTTTATCCCGCTGCTGCAGAAGCCAAGGACATTACTGTTGTTGCTGGCTTTGGCGTCCTTGGCCAGCTGGGCACGTGTGGCGGCGATCAGGCTGTCATGAGCCAGCTCCTGAACGCGCAGGTACCAGGGGGCGCTGCCATCGACACCGTCGCCCGCGGACACCTCCTGCTCCGCCTCATCCTGAACGAACACCAGTGGTTCGGCTGAGGCGGCCAGCCCTGCCGGATGGAGACGCAGACGAAAGTCAGCGATACGGGGAACCGCGTACCTCAGTGTGTCCTCGGGAACCCAAAGACAGACCATGTTTTTGCAAAAAGTGTTTTTTGACCATAATTTATATTCATCAGAGTATCTATGCACTTGTCACTCAAGTGTCAACTATGTGACCAAAAGGTAGTACATCTGGAATCAAGATACTGATTATGATCTATATTCACGTCGATAAATGGACAGATATGGGCCTCAGGCCAAATAAAATTGCATCCTGGAGAATTGGTTTTTTGCTGCCATCTACAGCCATGGGACCGAAGTTCTATGTGCGAAAGCTGAGCAGAAACAGCAGACTGGCAGTCCTGGTCTTACAGCGCCTGGTTTCTGGTGGCTGTTACCTTTGGCCAGGTTGAGCAGGATGAAGGAGGTGCTGTCTGAGTGCTGCAGGTCATGCAGGATGGAGGGTGGGCTGGGGCTTGGAGACAGTGCCACCCCACGGTGGGGCTGCAGCTGGACCACCAGGGGCTCCCGGTCACCCTCATACTCTGACAGCGATGGAGAGTCCGCATGGCTCAGACTGCCCTCTGAGGGGCCGGGGGGGGGACAAAGAGTGACCAACGGTGAGCAACCACAAGCCAGAGGCAATCAATGTGTACGTGTTCATTGGGGTTACAAATTTCTGGGAATTTTCCCATTAATTCCCATATATTCCTGTAAATTTCCCTGGAAAGTTTCTAACATTCCCCAGCTTAACTTCCCATAGAATGGAAAGTTTCTGCCCCTTTGCAACCCCAGTGTCCATTGACAAGTCCACCACCATTTCACACAACACCATTTCATATCACTGCAACACCCTGCTTCGGAACTGGACTCCCAAATGCTAAACAAAAAGACATAAACCACCATCTTTCAAAATAAGGCAGTTCATTGACATTCTTCCATTCGTAAAGCAATAGTGCATATTTAAATGTCTATAAGGCTCTTCTTCTGACCTGCGTGGGCAGGTAAGTCACCGATCAGCATCGCACCGCCCAGAGCCTTGGCGAGTTAATTACCGGTCAGCTGAAGCTGGCTACATAGGGAGCTGTCAGAAGCTGGAAGCAGAGGTAGGCAAGTGTCTTTGGGGTCAGACTCTTCCAATCCGTGCCCCAGAGGAATCGAGGCGTTCTGTACAAACTCGACCAGCAGCTGTTGGGAACAGAGTTGCACAGCCACAAACTTGAGTGTAAACAGCATCGACATAGTGTGTAAACGTTATTGCATAAGTACATTTGACAGGGTGAAACGCCATGCAGTACCTCGGGTTTGGGGTCCAGTTCATCAGAGAGCATGGATTCGGCGAAATAGTTCTAAACGGGTGGTGCAGAGAGTGGATTTAGGAACCAAAAAAAAATAGTATTGCATAAATTTCCCCTTTCTAACGGAGTTTATACCCACCTTGAAATACGTAGTTAGCCTGTGTCACTCGCGTCGTGAATCAGTAGCGATTGTCATCTCCCGGTTCCCAGATTACTACCGAGACCACAAATGTTTACATTACTTTATAGCCCAAACGGGTAGACTATCATGTATATATTACACCATAACTAACTACAACCAATCAGCCACAACTTAATTACGTGCAAGTTGTAGTAAACGACTGCCGATCTCTTTTCATCACAAATTCAGACCAAAATAGGAAACCCCAACACATGCGATAACACCATTAAAACACTAGATAACAAAAAAGGAAACGATAACACTGCCCACACCGGTATATTAGAACTGGAACTACAGACGGGAGCGAATAGCTAGCGCTAGCTACCTAAACAAAAACACGTTTTTCAACAATCATTTACACAACAATGTATCTTTGAATAAATAAATACCTTCATCCAAGGCCAGATTATATTTTAATGTTACTTATAGTGTTTGCTTCAGAAGCCTTTTCCAAAATCTATACCGCTAGCTAACTTCTATAGTACCGGCGAAGCTTTATAGTGCAGCAACATAGCTAGCAATAGTGTTAGCTACCTCATTTTAATTTCACTGATGATCTCCCGGTATTACCGATGTTTTTATACAACGCATTAACAGCTGTTACAAGTTACAACTTTACCTATGTGATACATACTCACAGTGTCTCCAAGTTTCTTTATTTGGTTTTTGTCACCCTCCGATCAACGCAAACAGTTCCTTCCTACGGGTTCTCTCATGGGACAAACCACTCCGGGTACTTTTTTTTTTTGATTTTCCGAACGAGCTTCTCGGATTGCCGCGGCCCGCAAAAAGAGCAATTAATCAGAGCTGCACTGAGAGGATATTATGCAGAAGGATGTCATCTCACCAGATATTTCAGGTATATTTCAGTTATTGCTAATCTATATACATGTATAAATACGCACTGAAGCAAATTAAGTGATCAGTATAATAGTAATCCCTCTCAATGGCGCTGTTACATTGTGGTCATATATCCTGTCCGTTGTGCCCCTTATTATACTTTTCCAAAGAAACAACTTAACATGTGGCATTTCATGTTCTGTGGTGCTTTTAAACTTTTCTTTTGCTTGCCGGATTTGGTTACACTGTCTTATGAATCTAATACTTTCGTAGCAATATTCATCATCAAATATCAGGAATATCTCTTAACCCACCAAAACAACTGAAAGTATATCATTTAAATTTTTATATAATCATTACATATCCTCATTACGATTACATACACAGCTCCTGTGAATCTGTTTTGGAGACATTGCTGATCCGCAGCCAGACATATGTCCCTTATGAAATTACATCTCTCCTTTTTCTGTAGGGTGGGTGGCTGGGGGGGGGGGGGAGGCTGGCTAAAGGTAAGGTCAGCCCTAATCACCCGCAGCTCAGCGCAGCAACCTGCAGAGGGAGCTGTGGGTCTCTGCATCTGCGGAGGAGAGCGAGTGAGCGCTCCCGCTTTCCTTCACTGGAACAAAGCGGCAGAGAGTGAGTGGGAGAGAGACGGTAGCCCAAGTGACACAGGAGCCCCGGGGCTGCCTCCCTGCCTCATTTGTGGCATCGCCGAGTCCGATTGCACAGGTGCCACCCTTCTGGCCAGCCTTTCCACTGACGGACCGGGAGTGAGGATCCTCTGAGCCAGCATCCAAAGGTATGCCTCCCCCCCCAGGGGGCTTTGGGCTTGGGCGCATTCTGGACACTGTGGCGATCGCCCCCTCGTCTCCAGCTTTCCAAGGGGGGGTGCAACTGTCGGTCCAAAAGTGTTCCACTTTGTTCCCAGGAGTCTGAACAGAAGTTGTCCCCCGCGGGGGTCCGTCTCCGGGGCGTGTTATGGGTCGGCAGTTTCTGTGAGAGCCGGTCCGTGTCGATTCCTTAGCATCCAAAGGCCGACGTCCAGGGGGGCGGCTCCGCTCAGCACCGACAGCATGGAGAAGTTGACTGGGAAAGATAAGGAGCTGATCCGAGACAGCTGGGAAAGTCTCGGGAAGAACAAAGTGCCACACGGGGTCGTCATGTTCAGCAGGTAAGCGGACGGCTGCCGGGTGCTGCTGATCAGGTAGGTCTCTGCTGTGAAGTGACCAGGAACATCCTGCCAGCCACATGCAGGCTCCCTAACGCGCTAAGATGTGAATAATCATATATTCACTACTTATAAAATATGCAAAAGCATAGTTCCACCTGTGAACGTAGCACCAGCTGTGTATCTGAACGTAAATATGCAGGAGTCCTACTAGTCCCAGCCATGCCTTTATGCTGAGATATCCTGATGAAGGCATTTGGAACAATATTGCGACTATATCTGTGATGACAGCCACGCTAAGTGCCAGAAAAGAGCCTGGAGGGGATTTGAAAAGTGCGGTAACGGGGGGGGGGGCAGACATGCTCTTCTTAGTCAATGTTGTGCTAATGAACCTCCCACGCACTGACACAGAGAGACGGGGAACAACACCGTCGGCTTCTCATCCCCCTGCCATCGTGGAATAGGAGGCTTTACTTGTTGCTTGGCGACAGTAAGGTCTATATTTTGAACGACTACCTATTAACGAGATGTGGAATTGGTAATCCCTCCACATCAGGTCACATCCACCATTACAATAAGAACCACATCTGAATAAGATGCATAATATGCAGTTATGGATGTATCGTATAACTGCCAAAAAGATGACACCATTAAGCAAAGCTTCTACTCACCTGGTCCGGTTTGATAGCCATAGCCATGGAATGTCTACAGATTCTGTGGTTTAATTTACGGTCAGCCCTGATCGATTACGTTTTGGCAGGTTATTTGAGCTAGACCCAGAGCTTCTCAGCTTGTTCAGTTACAACACCGAACAGGAGTCTGCACAGGACTGTCTCTCCAGCCCTGAGTTCCTGGAACACGTTACCAAGGTGAGCACCATCCAAGACCATGGTTTGCCTATTCATGACCTGCTCTCTTTGAAGGGGCTGTCAAACTCCTTGGGTCCACGTGTTGCTCTTCAGGTGATGCTGGTGATTGATGCGGCTGTCAGTAACCTGGACGACCTCCACTCTCTGGAGGACTACCTGCTGAACTTGGGACGGAAGCATCAAGCTGTCGGGGTTAAGACTCAGTCATTTGCCGTGAGTGTGCCCCCCCCCCCCCCCCACAACTACACCAAGACATACTCTTTAAAGATGTCTTCATCTCTTCCATCTTCCTCAGAAAATATCCATTAAATTTATACAAACATTTTCTCAAGATGATTTCCGAAGCATAAATTTAAGGTGTTTACAAGCAGTATCTATTTATACTGATGTGTTTAGGGTCCACAAGATGTCAGTCCTGAACTGAATTAAGGTGATTGAGTTGCTACTTTTATTACAGCCTTCCTCTGCTGTGGGCCTTTTGTGTCTCTGTGTTTGGTTTTCTCGCAGGTGGTGGGAGAGTCTCTGCTCTACATGCTGCAGCACAGCCTGGGTGCCGCCTACACAGCTGCCCTGCAGCAGGCGTGGCTGAACATGTACAGCATCGTGGTGGCGGCCATGAGCAGCGGCTGGTCCCAGAATGGTGAGCGTGGCAGTGACTGAGCCTTCCCAGTCAAGGGATCCACCAATCAACCAGTCAACGTGGAGACACGTCGTAGTTGTAGCTTTTACCGTCGAAAGCATTTTCATTTTTTTATGTGCCACGGGGTCTGACGGTGGGAGGAGTTGACGGAGAGATGAAGCGCGGGAGTGCTGTTAGCGGGTGGCTTTCAATGGCAGGGACCCAGCTAGCACATAACGTCCTCGCATAACGTTCTCGCGCTGCCGATACGCCGAAATCGCAGGGGTGACAGTGTGGTGTGTCTCTACGCCTTTGCAGGGAAGACATGCAAATGTTATGTGTTAGCTGGGACAGTCTGTGGAACACGCTCAAAAAATACTCTGTGAGTGGGTTTTGGTTTCAGACTACAGACGCTCGGCATAAATCCGAAGCGGCTTTCTACTCCCTCTTTAAGGCCTGAAGATAGTGGTGATGTTGTGGCGTCTCGTGTTTAACTCACGCAAGTCACCCAGTTGCTGACGGAAGGACTCAGCATCACCGGCCGATCTGTGGTTTCCGGAAATATCCAACAGCTTCTTTCCCTAAACAGACAGAAATACTGAGGATGGTCGCAAGTAACAGCAGAGGTTTTTAAAGAGGTCTTTGGATCTCAGTGCTTTTTGACATACCATACATACCTGATATTTATATTTATATATATATACATTAACGTTTGCTCAAGTAGTGCTTAAACTTCAGTCTGATAAATATATTCTGTGCTTTGATATATATTGCAATTTTAAATAATGTGACATGCCTTTGGCAACACTCACTACGAGGCTATTCCATTCACTTTGTGGCACCAGTTTCCATAGGAACAGTGAGATAGTATATACATACATTTTGTTGATTGAATCCTTTGTTATTGATACTACGTTGTTATCTCTGGTGGAAATATTAGCCATTTCAAGTACTAAAGTAGCTGTGTAAGATGGAAGCTTAAGGACGGAGCTTGAGAACTGTGACGATTGAACAAATGTCCTCCTGGACTTTGGTTTTTATCAAAAAAAGGTCTATTTCTTTAATATAACAAAAGAAAAAGTAACAAATAACATAAGATATTCAATCCTTAACGTGACTGTGTTTCATCAGGTATGCAGGGACAATATATTTAAAAAAAGCTTTTCTGTGTGATCTTTATGACTGTTACAATATACTCACAGCGCCTTATTCCAAAGGTACTCATGTGACATGGTTTTCCCCCTCTGAGTGGAGGTTATGGGGATGCACATTTGATGAGTTTATTATACATTTGTTTATCTGCTTAACTAAACTTGAGTTGACTGTTATTTCAATCCATTTGACATGACTGTTATCACTGTAGGGCGTGTGTTTAATGTTATATATTACTGTGTTCTGATCTGCACATACTGACCAGCTGGGGTTGTAATTTTAGCATCAATCAAAGAGCATCGGTAATAGGAAAACATGCGTCAGGCTGATGAATTTCCAACCTTGGTTTAGCAACAATAAGGCTAATTAAACTCTGCAAATCTACCGGGCTTGATAACAGCGATCCTCAGATTTCAGGCTGGCCTTTTCTACACATTGGAGGTACCCGCTTTGACATTTTAAGGAGATGAGGATGGCGCGGTGGGACCAAAGGTGTCCACTGTCCCCAGTTTGACGTGCTCCTGGTTTGAGGGCCTGGTGTCATTTCTGCACCTGATTGCAAATATATGAGCAACATACGAAGGATGTTTTGCGGTGATAGATATGTAATCATCAAGCAAACACTTAAAGACTGTTTTTGAATATAGCTGCTGGTGTGTAATGTACTGTATATGTTGCTGTCTAGAATGATTATTCATTAGATAGAATTTATTTTTATATTTTCCATATGTTCCTGTGGACAAATCGGTTTCTGTCTTAGACCAGTGTTAAATAGTGACTGTTACCTGCTAGTGAAAGTGAAGTGTAGATGTTTTTTTTCATGGTGAATTACTCTGTCCATTTGGTGGTCTAAAGGTGATTGATTCAACATATACCTCTTTATTTTGGCTTTAAATCATACTTTCAAATGTTCACCGTCAATTGAAATGTCAGATTAAATCGCTGCAATTTGCTCTCAATCTCTTTAATCACCATGTTTCTGGTGTTACATTTTCCTAATGAATTTGCTCTGACTACCTGGGTTTTAAAATTCAGTTTTATCCCGTTTTACAGTTTTAGCATCAGAAAGGAAACCTCTTCCTACCCAGAGTCTCTGAGAGCCACACTGTTCTGCTTGCAATTAGCATCTGCTCTTTAAGAAAGAGTGGAAACCTTTCATAATATCAGTTATTGTGCTCCCTCCTACTCCCACTGGTGTGAAGGTCCTTCCGGTGATTAGAAGCTGATTATGCAGGTGGTCCAATGTTCCTCAACCTCTCCTCTGTCTCCGTGCAGAGTACCAAGCAAGTGCTTTCCTGATTATTCCACATTTAACCGAAGGTGTTAGCAATCGCTGCATTTGCGTACCCAATACGTTTGAATTGTTTCAATGTCTACCTCGATGGTACAACTGCTCCTTGGACAGCCAAGAATTCACCCTGAGCATCTGGCAACCAGAAACACCTCTGAAACAAAATGCAAACGTTCTCTCTGACCATGCAGCTCATACAAGCGATCTGTTAATCTGTATAAACATGATATGTCATATGTTTGGTTATTAAAACTAAATAAAGGTTCTCTTGTGTGTAGATTAAAAAAGGGCTTTTTCTTCATTGTCTTTCTGGGTCAGTCTTTTGCATTTGCTTAAAGGGGACAGAGCTTGGTTCATTGCTAGATACAATTGCATTATGCTTGACTTCTTCCTGTGTTGATTTTTCTGTGTTACATAAGTGTTCCGTCTGAATCCCCTCATCCGCCGGGTATAAAGATGAAACAGGGATAATTTGAATGTGGGTCTTCTCCCTTATTACACAAAAGTCATTTTAAATTCTGAGGAAAACGATTGATCTCTGCACTGATGTGCAGTCCCTTCCCAGAACGTGAAAGCAAGTACAAAAATGACACTGGAAAAAAGTGTGACTCGTGTGGTCGAAGATGTAATTGACAAAGATTTTGCAGAACCATCCCGTCTGAGACCGAGGTCGGCTCTGACGGCTGTGGCCCCAGCATAGTCCTATTAGCCATTTGAAGCAGCAGCAATGGGTTTGACCTGTTAGAGCAGCTGTATGGCATTTATATTACAGGGACTTGAACTGATGGATAGTGGCTCATGGCCCAGGGGGACCACAGCTCTAGAACCTGAGCACTGGTCCTAACTGATCCGGTAAAATATCAAGCTGCATAAAAGTTTAAAAGTTGCTTGGAAAATTATATATTAATGACAATAATATACAAGAATAGCTGGCCTTTCTCAAGCTTTATGAGGTTATGTTGCTATAGAAACCATAGCATAGACATTTTTTGTTGAACAATTTAATAACTTTAAATATGTTACTTTATGAATGTGCAGTAGAAGTTATTTATACTTGTGTACGAATTGGATTCTGTGATGGATTATGTCATACTCATACCCCCAGGTATACCTGTTTTGGCACACACTGAGCCCCCCCCCCATCCCCTGACACACAAAATGCATTAGCACATACGCACACACTTCAAGGGATCACAGAGTCCTCAGAGTTTTCTTCGGAAAACAAGCAAATGAGAAAAACAGCCAGGCATACATTATTTTTAGAAGTCCGCAGTGTGTTTTGGGATGCGGGAGGTTGTGTGTCTCCATGGCAACCCAGCATATTTGTCGAGGTGCAACTGTGCTGTTTGTTTGGTAGGTGCACAGTCCAGTGTAGGGCAGCGATATTAAATCAGCAGGGCCCAATGGGGTGGAATGGAGAGGCGCTTGCAGCAGACACAGGCTAATATGCTAATCAGGTTAGTGCTCTCCGATCAGCAGGCTCTGAGATCTTACCGTGATAAGACTACATAGGTATCAGTACAACGGGAATAAAAGATAAAAATGGAAAGATAAGATATGGCGACAGATACCTGACCCACATTAAAGATTATAAGCAAACATCTAAGATCAGTCCTGTTAGCTCCTGGCTAAATTGTCATAACATGTAGCATAGCGGTGGTGCTATTCTGAGAAGAAAGGAATGTTGGGAAGGGTATATTGTATTGGTCGATTTACACATTGAAACGCAGCATTACTTGTTTTGGTGAAATATGGGTCTTTTCCTTGTTATTTTTAGGTTCTCTCACAGCAAAAAAGTCCCATTAGCACAGGAAACGAACACAGCTGGCTGTTAGAGGAAAGCCATGCCGTTTTGACAGGAGGCTGGGGGATGTGCAGCGGAGGCTTGGCCGGAGCGTCGCGGCCTGGCACCCGAACCAGCCTCTCTCGAATCTCCAGCTACTCAGCAAAACCTCACATGGCTGCCATGAGTCATCAGCGCAGTTTGATCGATGGGTGTCGTGGCCTCTGTTATGGGATCAGGCTCATTGCCAGGAAGCCAGAACTCAGAAATAATGCCGTGAGGGTAACTGAGGAACGGCCTCCTTGTGCAGCAAAGATGGATTGCTGAAAAAAGTGTGTTACTTGCTAAGAGTTAAGTTGGCAGCATGAGTAGTGGCCAACAAACATGATTTTTGCCTTCCATACAGGGATGCATCCATTGGATATGAAAGATCTAGAGAGGTGTTTCCAATCCGGTCCTCGGGGATCCACAGGCAGTCCACCTTTTTGCCTCCTGCTCTTAGTAGGGAGCAAAACTGTGGACTGTCTGGCAGAGAGCTTGGAGGGAGCAAAAACATGGACAGATTATAGGGGAGGTGGGTCCCAGCAACTAGAGGCAGAATATCTGATTGCTTGGTCCCGCCTCCTCTAAAATCTGATTGGTTATCTCTCTGAAACCATCATTTTCCCTTCTGCCCTCAGAACATTTTCTCCCATGAACACAGACTGTGGGTCCCCGGGGACTAGAGTGGGAAATTCTGATTTAGAGGAAAAGCCAGGCAGAGGTAGGCTGCAATTGATTGATGCTGGGGCTTGACCTGCCTAAGAATGCCGCATGCACCTCCAGCTGCCAATGACGTAGCGTGTATGAAGGGAGGTTCTGAGGAGCAGTCAGGGGCCCTTGGCACTGCCCCCCCCCCACACAACAGGGCCAAGGAAGCAGAGGCTCGAGAAGAGCAGCTAGACACACTCACGCCATCTCTGCAACCATGAAACAAGCTTTGTGAGGCCTGACACCTTGGGCTCGTAAGTCTGTCCCCCAACAATACAAGGCTACATTCCTTGGAGATTAGCTACTCTTCCCTGTGGAGGATCACACCATTCAGCACTCGAGAGACTGTGGGTGGGGGGGGAGGCAGTGTGACTTTTGGATCTGGTGAAAATCCAGTCGAACCATAATGTCCACAGAACAACTCTATCAAACAAAAATGCAGCTCAGCTCCCAAACAATGCAAATAGTTTAGCTGTTTTTTTTTTACCTCTAAATGGGTGCCGCCTACCACGACTTCTAATTAATCGCACCATAATGGAAGGTTATGATTACAGAAGAAAATTAAATCTCACAGATCTATTGAAACTGCTTTGCTGCAGTGTAATTTTACCATAAGTGAATTTATAAATAACTGATTATTTGTGTGCTCTCATTTTTAAAGTGGAAAGCTCTGCCCCTGCTTATTATGCAGCTCCACATGCCTCTTTTTCTTCAAAGGAACAGAAAATGCATGTATTTCTGTGTCTATCATTCCTTTGTACCCTCTGGTATCAGAAGAGCTGCCCATCTCCTGGTCTTGTTGCTGTCTCAGCCACACAAAGGCTCCAAAAAGCACCATCATTTTATCTGGCAGTTTCTACTCCCGGAACCTTCCGACTAGCAATGAGATGTTTTCAGTTGAAAGGCCCATTAAGGCTGAGCGCCACATAAAAATGGCCTTTCTGACTGAAAGCTGTCTGCCTCTTGAACTCCTAAGTACCTGCCCTGCATGAGAACTGTGGCTTGCGGTGGTGGGAGAAGGGTCGTGGGGGCGGGGGCATGTTGAGAGACTCCATCTTTAATTGAACTCACGGCACTTCAAAGGCTCTCGACACAAAAACAGCAGCGGATGAGAGTGGTCATTATCCAGCGCTGCGTCCTTCAATCTCTGCTCTGTGTAAAATCCACATTTAGGTCCAAATGACAGAATGTTTGTTTTCCTTTATTCTTTTGAAAAAAAAAAAAAGATTTGGCTGAAACTATAATTAGAATTTTGCCAGGGGACCGGCACGCTGACCAATTTCCTGCGAGGGATAAAAATAAAGCTGGAAATAGCTGCCGTATCCCCGAAGCGGATCAGTATCTGTCTGATGATGGAAATCACACTTTTAATTATACGCGATGTTTGTTATCTCACAGTTTGCGGTAAGATTGCATGACCTGCAGCCTACACTGTAATTTTATTTATGAATAAACAAACCTTTATCCAACCACAGCGATTGTATTCACTTTGAATTTATTATATTCAGAAAACTCATTGTTTGCATATCCAAGACAACAGATGAATGGGGTATCACAGGATTAGTAAAATATTGTTGTGATTTAACTTTATGGACACAGTTCCTATTTACATTGCCAGGGTTACTGGAACTCTAGAGGGAAAATCTTGAAAATGAAAAACTCCAGTCCACGTACTTCATCTCTCTTGCATATATATTTCCACAAGATGATCTTAAAAAAAAGATTTTATTTTTTCTACCCACCATCCTGGCCGATGTCAAAATGAAGGGATTCAAAACCATACTGGAGAAGGAATCGCAAAACTTTAAAGTCCGTAAAACAAGTCACAGGAACAGAAACCATGGAGACATTTGGGTTGGGACGCGTGTCTCTGCTGTGAAATTCCTCTCATCTGCTCCAGAATCCGGTTCCTGATGCTTTCAACACTTTCTGCTATTAATCTCTCGGATGGCAGCAAATGAATGTGAACATAATGCAATTGGCAGTTTTGGGGTTTCACTCGTTTGTAGAAAATCAGACTTGGTTTCAGATTCACTTGCACTGCGCACTGAATTAAGGATATAGTTTTTAAATCCCCACTAGTAAGAAAGAAAAAAAAAGAACTCAATACAAAGATGACAGAGATCCTAGAACCCACAAACTCAGATAAAACAATAAAAAAACTGTAAGCCGACAAGGACACCCAAGCAACCCCACTTGATATCATGTTTTGTAGCTGTCAATCACGAAATTCATTATCCGGTGAGAAGCACTGCCTTGTGGGTATGGCGACTACTCGGTGAATCTTCCTGTCCACGGCAATCACACTTGCGCAGATGCTGTACCCATGCGCATAATACAATGGTGGTGATTGTAGAGAGACTATATCAGCCGACACCAATGCATGCCCCTCTTTTCTGTTTTAAGTTGTGCCTAATCAGAATGGGAACACACGTTTCATTAGGCGCATGAAAGACGTGAATTACTGGGAGATGCGATGTACGGTCCATGTAATCTGTTCACATTTCAGTCATTTCCCTCCTCAAACAGCTGGACTGTGCTGTGTTGTATGGTACTATTTTATTGTTTTGCACTGTCTGACTTGTTTTGCATCTTTAGTCTCTTTGTAACTGAGTGTGGCTGATTGATCAAGCATTCCAGTGCACCTGCTGCAGATGGCCAATAAAGATCTTGAATTCTGATTCAGTCACTTTGCTCGCTGAAGGCGCAAGGCCGTGAACCAAGCACTGCTCACATATGGGTCCACGTCCTTGACTTCCACACCACCTGCTGCCTTAGAGCTAAGGGAAATTCAGGGCTGAAGGAAAACCAGCGTACACTGCAGCTTCCGAGTTCTGAAGAGCTGGTATACAGCACAGCCCACACTATGCTACATACTGAGAGACGGGCGACTGAGACGGACACCGTGGCTGCTGGAAAGGGGGCTGTGCCTATCCACAGCCTGCCCACTAGACCACATTGTGTGAGAGTGGCAGAGTGCCACCTGCTTGCCATCCATGGGGGATTCAGAACTGCCTCTGAAGGTGAATGGGGGGGGGGGGTTGGCTGCTTCATGTTAGTGGATTCTGCAGCATCCCCGATGAATATTACATATGGGGAGGGATGTGTTAGTGTATGTGACTGTTCCCCCAGTTCCTGGCTCTGTAAATACATTCCATGCAGCATATTTCAGGCCATGCTGGATTGTCAAACAAAAGGACTTTTTTTTCCTTTCTTCTTCAAGGCACAGCAAGAGAGCGATAAAGAATAATACAAACCTCAACCGTTTTACATTCAGGATTTGGAAAGAGGTGTGGGGAGGGGGCATTTTTCCCCTTGCTCCAAACACATCGCGCAGCATTACAACAACTGACAGATCAGGACGCAACACGGTCACAACGGAGCAGAGGAGTAACGTTGTAGGAACGTTTAGGAACTGATTACACTGCGAAGCACTGGTACAGGTCAAAGGTTGGAGCAAGAAAGGAAAATGGCTTTATGGAGGGCCGATGCAGAAGGAGCCCCCCCCCAGCCCCGAAAGCCCGTCAGGCAGAGGCGACGTGGAGCTGTAAGAGTGTCTCCCTAATGGAGCATGCGGCGGGAGTCCATGGCCCATAATGCAACGGGGCGATAGCAGCAGACTGGGTAACGGCACTCTGCTTCCTCCTTCGGCGCTACCGATTTCTGGGTCTGCTTTTTTGTCGGTGTCTCGAAACACGTTTGAACGCCGACATTTTTTTTTCTGCTTTGCCGTGTGACATCTTTCCAAACCGGCTGATGCCTTGTGTCGCGTTTACAAGATGAATACTTCACCACTGACATCAAATTCCAGCGGTAAAAATAGCGATTACCTAAGAGTACTAGTAGAAGTAATAACAGTAATAGGAATAATAATCAGTAACAACATTAATAACTGCAAGAAAACTGGTAATAAACCATAATAAAACAATGAAGAGCAACAAAGGTTTAGAGAGCAATGGGGGATTTTTTTTAGCTGTGTTCCTTTGCCCTCTGCACAGCGACATGGAGAGAACATTCCGGTCCCCAGATGCACTCTGCCCTACAGCACTGTCATGTTCTCTCACCACAGATGGCTTTGCGAGCCCTTGGAGTCGCCTTGGAGGTGTCGCAAAACTCTGAAACTGCTTGGGATCCCCTCACTCCTAACACCCCCCCCACCTCCTGTGGCCTCATATGGCAAGCTTCACAAGGCTGGGGGGAAACGTTTTTGCAAATAAGTAAGGAAGTGCAGCACGAAGCCATATGAGATGCAGCCAGACTCTCAGTGACAGAAGGTGGACGCTCTGAGATGTTTCTCCCCATGGTCAGTTTATTTCTGCTCCTGGTCCTCTGGGGCTGCACACCACCATATCTTCTGGTTCTGTCCTAATCTTGGCCAGGCCCGATCTCCTTCCTTCTATCCATCCAACCTGCATCAACCGCAGTACCAGAAATCTGGAGCCCAAGGTTCGAGAGCTCTCACAGAGGTCCAGCAGAAGGTCTGGCCAGCAAACTCTATGTCCGAGGCTTTCAGGCAGCTGAACTGGGCAGAGGAACATTCTGGATTAATGCTCGTTCTCTCTTTGTTTTGCTGCTTTGGCTTTTTTAAGCCTGGAGTTACGCGGCTGTGGAAGAGGGGGCACGCGTGTGGCTCGGAGCAGGGGGGCGCGGGGGGCGAGTGGGACGTTACTGATAGCCCAGCTGGCTGTCCATGAGGGGACTGGAGGCAAAGGGGTCCTCAGGATCGGGGGGAGGGTCCTGCAGCTCCGTCTCGTAAGTCTGAGGTTGCGCCTCTTCTTCACCCCCCCCGCGCGAGGAGCCCCGCCGGTTCCCCATGGCACCGTAGCTCTGGTGGGCCGGAGACGCCATAGGAGTCAGACCCAGCTCGGGCTCCTGCAGCACGGAGGCTACAAAAAGCTGGAAGAAGCAAAGCATCTCATTTAGGTGGCGAGAACATCCTAAAAATGATGATGTTACTTAGGGAAGAATTAGAATCTGCCCATTTTCATCTTATTGATCTTCCAACCCGTTATCCAGCACAGGGTTACTGTATCTTATTCAGCTTAAAAAAACTGTGTGTCAGGGCAATACATTAAAAAAGATTACTAATACTGCAGAAAAGCTACTACCTGTGAGTAATAATTTTTTAGATTAATGATTAATATGATGTCTATCATACAATAGCCTGCGATCCTGACCAGGATAAATGGTTGGATCATATACTGTAATAACTATCACATCTTAATTTAATCAGAGGTGGTTAGTTTAGGTCCAAAAAAGTAGAAATTCAGACCAAGATTTTGTTTCAACCAACCATTTGAGTACTATATGACTGTGACTGTTATACTCAACTGGTTGGTTGAAACAAAATCTTGGTCTGGATATTTACTTTTTGAACCTGGACTATCCACCTCTGCATTTTCCTATCGGCTATGAATATATAAATACCCATGGCTTCAGAAGCCGTTTGACATTGGGGGGGACTGATTTTGTGCCAGTGTTGGGGGGGAGGGGGGCAATGTATATTGCACCATCGCAATGAGCACACATACAATAGTTACATTGTGAAAGGAGGCTATTTAAGAAAGGTTTAAAATATTTTTTAATAATGAAGATCTCATAATTTAAAGTAAGACTAACACAGCTTAGGGTACAATATCACAACTAAAGGTGAATAATAATATGATCCATATGCGTCTGTCTGATATAGGACTACAGTCTTTGTTAGGTACAGTATACTGTATGTTGGGTAGCGAATAGGCCTCTGTGACATGATTCATAATAAAAGATAAGGAATGTGCCCTTGATTTTTTTTTTTTGGGGGGGGGTCTTCCAATATTGGGGGGGATATGTCCCCCGGTCCCCCTATTTCTGACGTCCCTGTAAACATCTTAAAGACCGGGGACTAAGGAAAGGGGGTGAGGTAGGATTTTTTTAACTGAACCAGCGATGTCACATGTGAGACTCTGTTTGACAGGCTGCACAAAGCAGGCAGCATAGGTAGGAGACACACATACGTTGGGGTTGGGCACCGATGAAAGGCTGCCTCTCTCCGTGTCACTGAAGACGCCCTCCGTGGGCTGGTCAGACATCTGGGACACAGGGCAATGTGTGTGAGTGTCACGCACACAGGCACACACACACACACACACACACACACACAGGCACACACACACACACACACACACCCACACGAGAGAATCTTACCATTGAACTGACTGCAAATCCAACTTACTATCTATAGGACCAGGCAGGTTTTAATTATTAAAAATAATGGAATAACTACATTACATATTTAAGCCAAATTTTCTTCAGTTTTCATATGAACAGTTAGACTCTATGCCCCCCCCCCCAATGAAAACAAAGGTGCAGACTTGGTAGCTGGTGGGTTTGGGGGGTCTCAGTTTCCTCAGGCACAGGCCGAAGAGGGAGAAGACGATGCAGCACAGCAGCGAGACAAAGGTGAAGAGGGTGACCGGCCGGAACGGGCCTGCAGGGGGACAGACAGGGTCTTTAGCTTAGCGGCTAGGCGAGGAAAACAGGCAGAGATGCAGCTGTATCTGAGACGGGAAGACAGGAAGTACCCAGTCGCAGCACGGAGAAGGATAGCAGCCAGAGCATGCAGAGGATGGGCGCCACCATGACCTGGCTGACAGCGGCGTAGTGGATGTGCTGGCTGAGCCTGGTGGGGACGTAGGCGTAGTAGATGTTGTAGCGATCAATCATGTGCTTGAGGGCCACATACAGCAGACCTGGGGGGACAGACGTGAGAGCGAGACCCTGTGAAGCATCCAGCACCAATACCGGGTAATATACATATACAGGTGTTACTCAATATGGATACCTGTGCATGTAATGCTGCTACCACTAAAAGCATTAGCCGAACATCTAAAGCTAATTTACTATTAAAGATAAGAACACAACCAGGTCCCCCTGGAGCCTGAGGTAGTCTTAAAGGGGGGGTTCCTTAACAGGGCCCTCTGGACGATATGACCTGCGGCCACGGCATGCAGCTCCCTCTGGGGAGTGTGAGGCGCTTGGGCTTGTAGTAAACATTCCAACCTAAGGGGGGCAGGCAGGAGCGCAGTGGCTGGCTGGCACGTGGCTCGCTGCCATGCTGAGATGGGGCGGGGTGACTGTAAATCAGCCCGGTTTGCCATACCCACAGTCCTCTGAGTCAGCCTCACCCTCACAGAGCAGATAACTGTTAGATAACCGTCAATGCTTAGTGTGCAAAACTATGATCACTGAAATGTGTTGAAGACACAGCAACGCCTTTATAGTTACAAATACCCATTTGAGTTGTCTTGGCAGTGAATTTTACTAATTAATATCTAAAGAGTATTTTTGTTGCAAGACCAGCATAACTACAGACTAACCTGTATACCTGATTAGCATTTGGCTATTGATAATCTTTCAGGGCACACAGTTTGATCTTTGTTTTTAAATTATGGGTCTGAGTGCGTCCGTCGTCTGAAAGCTCCTGTCCCTCAGCCCGGTTTGGACCATCGGCTGATCCATTTCGGAGATGCTCACCGAAGGGCGTGATGATGGGGCAGGTGATGCTATAGGTGATGCTGACAGCGAAGATGCACATGGTCCAAGCATACTGCAGGCCGAACTGGAACTCGTAGGCCTGGTTCTGGGTGGACAGAGGAGAGCACACACATATGCTCACACAGATACACACACACACACAGAACGCTGTGCTCTCCTGCTGACACTCAGCCAGGGGGTAACAACGACCCCACTCTCCTTCATATCTCACTTTGTCCGCTCATATGATGCTCTTATCTGGACTGTTTGATCCTTTCCTCACAGGGAAAGACAGACGCTCCAGAAAACGGTGGCTGCAATATTCACATGAACACCACCATGCTCATTATTCAGCCCTGCATGCTCACTGATTTAGAAAGCTTTCAGAATTTAAAGAGACAGAAAATAGAGAAATATGAGAAGTAGAAGGTGCATTTTCTATCCCTGGAATATTCTGCAATAGCTTTCCTCATAATTATCAATAATTATTAGTAATAATTTAAATTTATATTGAGCGTTCAGCAGTGGTGAGTTCCCTACAGAGAGAGTGAGTCACACATGTGTGTGTGTGTGTGTGTGTGTGTGTGTGTGTGTGTGAGTGTCAGTCCCACCCTCTTGACGTGGATGCGCTCGGCCTCGGACTTGGCAAAGCAGAGGCGCATTGCGTAGACGGTGAGCGCTGGCAGCCGCAGCAGCTCCATGGCCGTGCCCATCAGGCTGGAGGTGATGACGTAGTTAACGAAGAAGGCCCCGTTGTCAGGGAGGAACATGCACCTGCGGGAGCAGCGGCTGTTCAAAGGCTGAGCTGCTAAAGGTCAATGTGCCCCGTACTAAATCTAAGCCTAGGTAAACAGACAGGGCATTTAGCTCTGCTGCAGTGCAGCATTTAAAGTTGGCTCGTGGGAATTTTGAACAAAAAATGATTGGTTCAGAGAGATAACCAATCAGATTGTAGAGCAGATGGGTCCAAGTGACTAAAAGAGGCGGGACCAAGAAATCTGATTGGTTGGTCCCGCCTCCTCTAGTTGCTTGGATCCACCTCAACCTACAATCTGATTGGGTATGTCTGTGAACAAATCATTTTTTGTTCTGCCCTCAGAACATTTTTGTGTAAGTAAAACTCCCATGACCTTAATGCTGTACTGATTTCAGCTCCTCGTCGGGCATTTGGGAGGGATCGCTAGAACTTACTGAAATTTCACAACTTTTTCTTCCAGGAACTTGCGGTCAAAGAGCCACCTGAAGAATACCTCCAAGCTAAAAGCAAAAAAGGAAGTTGTAAAAAAAGGAAGGGTGAAGGCTGTACAACAACAAGGGACATCTGTATAGGCAGGCGTACAGGTTCAAGTCCACAGGGAAGATTCTCACTCAACTTCCTCCAGAAAAATGTGTTATGGACACTGACACATGGGAACAAAATGGAGGATGATTCAATAAGTGTCAGCCACAGAAAAAGATGATTTGTAAAATAGTAACAGAGCATGACTAACATCACAACAACTCTTCCTGGCCATTACAAGAGTAAAATCTACACTACAATTACAGTAGAAGTGTACAGACACTCCCCGGGTTACGGTGGAGTTATGTTCTGATAAACCTACTATAATGCAAAAATATCATAAAGCGAAAATGCATTCTAATACAGTACACCTAACCTAACAAACATCATAGCCTAGCCTAGCCTACCATAAATATGCTTAGAACACTTACATTAGCCAACAGCTGGAAAAATCATTAGCACAAAGCCTATTTTACAATATAACGTTGAATATTTCATGTAATCTATTGAATAATGTACTGGAAGTGAAAAATATTTACTCATCATTAAGTCGAAATATCGTAACCCGGGGGCTGTCTGTAGTATCTGCTAGTAATAGTGCAAATAATAGTAATAAAGTATAACAAACATTAACACCATAATGTTTGGGCGCATTAGAGGTGGATATTAAACAGCCAATCGACTGATAGAACATTACCTAAGGAGACCCAACGATGGCAGAATGAGCACTATGAAGATCAGCAGTAAGAAGCACTTATGCATCGTTATCTGGTTCTCACTCGATCTGAAAGACAGAGGCGGACACTAAAAGAAAGTCATCTCACGTCGACTCATAAAGATTTCAAAATGCACATGACACCTTTCAAAGGGTATCTTTCGTCCTGTGGGATAGCTACAGATAGAGGACATATGTACAGATATTCGTAAGAAATGGAAGCATTGCACAGCCTTATTTTCTGAGCATTTGAGAAGCGGTTTAGTCGTAAAGTATGATTTGGGCTCATTGTCATGCTAAACATGCATCGCGGTTACGCATCAACATGAGTCGCCAGGTCGGTGGCCCTGCCGCCGCATTCGGCCCCCAAGAAGCCCGGCATTACAAAAGGCGACAGCACACGGCAGCAGAGAGCCATGCGAGGACGTCCCCGCGTGTGCATAGCGACCATGGTACTCCTCGTTAAGCCCTGCACGGGGATCACTATGACAACACGCGCTGCAGGAATCCAGGCCAAGCGGGGGAACATCTGCTTGGGGGGGGGGGTGGGGGGTGCTGAGAGAGGATGGAGTAAGAGGAGAAGATCAAGAGGAGAGAGCAAGAAAATCAGGTAGAGGAGGAAGCTTGAAAGGCAGAGTGGAAGTACAAGGGCAGGCAGGACGGCCATGAGCTCCTGGAGTGTCTGCAGCCTTCTGGTTACTGTAAAGCGCTGAGAAGGTGGGGCTACCTGGTCCAATGGGACTCGAAGAAAGCCGAGTAGTAAACGACGAAGGGAACCAGCACGGAGAAGACCCACAGGAGCAGGGTGGGGAAGAACTGTGTGATCACCGGATTCTAGGAGGGCAGGATAGATAGAGGCTGGGAGAGCAAATCACACCAGCTAGCCAAATAACTTACTCCAGGGTTCCCAGCCCGGTCCTCGGGACCCGCAGGCGGTCCACGTTTCTGCTCCTGGGAGCAGAGAGGGAGCAAAAACATGGACCGTCTGTGGGTCCCGAGGACCGGGCTGGGAACCACTGACCTACTCACATCAACACAGAAATATGACAGTTCGCCTTTATCCATGTCAGTGTGCAACTCTGCCTCTCAGTGTCACCAGTATTCATACCAAAGAAGGACAACAGCCCTTATCCACGAGCAGAGCTGTGGGGAGTCCCATGATGCATTACAAGCTCTGTAATTATATAAATTATATTAAGAAATTTAAGTAGAACGTGAAGAATCATAATGAACAGTAGCATGACTCACTATGCTTCACCTAATGGGTTTATTAATTTCCTTTGCAACAAAATTGTATCTTATCACTACTCATCAAATTAAACTCCTCCCTAAAATCAGCAGGGGTATTATGATTTGGAGTTTTTATCTGGTCTTTGGTGAATATACCACAGGTTCTGCTTCAGCTGATTATTCACTAATTATTAGCTAATTATTTCCGACTTGACTTTCCTAAGCTTACTTCACAATTAAGGTTATTTGTCCACAAACATGTTCAAGAACTGGCCTGAGATCACATTTAGCCCACATTTACAAGCAAATGAAACCACAGGCAGGAAGCAGGGCAGTCTTTTTGTAAAGGAGGAGTCGGTCTTGACCTGCAAGCTCTCCACGGGACGCGTGACGTTGAACTTGTCCATAGTGTTGACGATGATGGTTGGTGTGGTGAGGAAGAAGAACAGCAGGAAGAGGAAGATGTTGAGCAGGAGGCAGCGCAACCACCAATAGGAGCCGCGCACTGACAGGTTCTCCCTGAGGGCGACCAGAAACTCGCTCAGCACCCTCAGAGACACCCAACACAAAGATCACATTGCTGTCCAGTTCTGTCACCAAGATGGCCGTCTCCTAGCATAGCTCAACTTGACTACACTACACTACGCTATAATAATAAAATACTAACTTGTTAGTCACATGCACTGATCTATAGTACCAGTCAAAAATTTGGACACACTTACCCATTGAGAGGTTTATTTGAAAATTACAAAGACATATAAGATAACATATATAGAATTATGCAGTGATTTAAATAAATAATTTGTTGGGGGGGGGAGGGGGGGGGGTGCAACTCTGAGGGCTGGGACTCAGAAGGCTGCCAGGTCCAGGGACTGGCTGCCCCTAAAGTCTCCTCTACGCCAGTTTCATGAGGTGGCCTCCTGGGATGCTTTTCCAGCTCTCCTGAAGGAGGTCCCACATATATGCTGAGCACTGATAGGCTGCTTTTCCATCACTCTCTGGTCCGAATCCTCCAAAGCTGTTTCTGCTGTGTTTAGGTCAGTTGGCCAGGACATGTTATGTGACACTATCACTCTCCTTTATAGGCAGCTTGGCGTGTCCAAACTCTTGGCTGGTAATGTACTAGTTCTAGAGAGTCACATGAGGAGAGTAGATAGATGACTGCAGACTGTGTGAGACCTTTAGCCGGGCCCATCACGCTGGCTTGTGTTCTGGCATTCTGGCATACCACATTAAAAATACATCATGCAATCAGCCAGGCATAAGTGCAGCTAGGCTGAGCTTCCACTGAATGCCCAACTACAAGTGTAAGCAGGTATCGGAGCAAGAGCTACACAACATCATCCAGACACAGCAAGAACCTAATTAGACAACCGTTCAAATCTGCAGACAAGGTGCATCGTCCTGTGCACTCTCCTCACAGTCTAGCTGCCATAAAGCGGGGAGGGCGGTGCTCAGGCCCTGATTGGCTGCCATAGGGTGGGGAGGGTGGATCTCATGCCCTGATTGGCTGCTTCCCCACACTCACCTGGCAACTACCATACCACCTGTGCCAGGACTCTCCTTGCCAGCAGGGGCAAACAATGTTATAAATCCCGGTGTAGCCGGTTTGGGAGTTACGCGTGACACCCTGGCTGAGGGCAGCACCTGGGGGCCCAGTACTGAGCACGACCCCAGCATGTTCCTCACCAAATGATGTCGCTGGGGGCGGGGGCATAACCCACCCCCCACTTGAGGGAGCGGACTATGGTGGTGATGCTGGACTGCTGGGGTCTCCGGCGACAACGGGTCCGGCTGTAGTCCTTCACGATGCTGCCAGGACAGACACACACACACACACAGTAAGTGCATGGAAGCTCTGACTCACAGTTTGGACAGTGTCTGCAAGGCGGCACCCTTTTGTTAAATAAGGCCTGTGGTTTTTTCTATGGACAATTTTCTTCTGCGGTGAGGCCAGGCTAACTTATTACCCAGGTTGCCTTCTCCACCATGGATGTCCATTTCTGCCCCTCCACCAGTTTTTACAGGCAATCCGAAGTCCACGGTAAAAACAGATGCCCCTTCAATTACCGTGGTCAATTCCCATGAATGCTTCAACAGGCTGCATACATAGATTTAACATTTAAAAACATCAGACTCTGCCCTTTATTCATAATGCAGCCTGTAATATCCCTGGTAGACGGAATCACTGTCTGGGTTCCATGTCGGGACGCTTTGCTACATTTCCAAACGTCATTACCTTGCTTCCTCCATTGGACTGACACAGGCTAAATTGGATTAAGCCGTTATGCTAAGCAAGGCTATTCGCTAACACGCCGCGTCAGTCAAATCGACAGCGCAGGCTAAATTTGTCTCCATCTGTAAGTGAAGGCCATCAAGAACATGTGGAGGAGAGAGACACTCAATCTTAAACTTATCAATGTCAGGCCGTGCAGGGTGACATAAAAGAGTTGATCAAATTTGGTGAAATCATCCAAAAAAAGCCACGCTAAGTGTCTTTTGTTGCCTTTTAGGGGGCTGGGGGGGTCCTGGGGGGGGGTGTCATGCTTTGCTCACACAGCAGTCATCCTCTCGTCCCGGAACGTGACGAACACAATATCCAGCCGCTTCAGAGAGATCCGGTTCTTCTCCGCGTTGAACTCGTCCGTCAGCTTCTCCTCCAGCTCACTGTAGTACTGCTCTGCATCAACCTTTAGGAAAGAAATGACACGAGCGTTGCATCACAGGGCGATATGCGGTATTTATATGCGCCACAGGGCGATATGCGGTATTTATATGCGTCACAGGGCGATATGCGGTATTTATATGCGTCACAGGGCGATATGCGGTATTTATATGCGTCACAGNTATGCGTCACAGGGCGATATGCGGTATTTATATGCGTCACAGGGCGATATGCGGTATTTATATGCGTCACAGGGCGATATGCGGTATTTATATGCATCACAGGGTGACATGCAGTACAAATAGGCATGGCATCAGTCATTTGGATTATGCTTTGGTTAGCCTTTCATTGCACATGAATTTAATTTAATTAAAATATGAGTACAGGACTTGGGGGGGTTACTGTTGGAAAAAAAAGGCCATAATACAAATTTGACTTGCAGTGACATCTGGTGGACATTTTAGAAACTACATATTCCAATAATTAGATATTAAAATCCAGGGCTATTCAAATCATGGTCCTCAAGGTCTATGGACAAAAGTATTGGGACACACCTACTATATATATATATATATATATATACACACACACACACACACACACACACATACAGCCTTCCTTTGCCCGTGAGCTGGGTGTGTGGGTGTGAAGCCTCTGTGGCCAATCAGAATCAGTAATTATTAAACTAACTACCTGGGAGAACTGAAAACATGGCTTCTTGGATTTGGAATCGAGGTCCAGATTTACAGAGCCCTATTCTAATCTTTTCAACATATGTACGACGATCATGTTGCACAGTACCTGCTCAAATCCACAAAAGTCACAGCAAAATATCTGGCCGCAGGCATGAGTCTTGATCATGATGCGTCCTTCTTTCTGGGCCTTGCCAGTGAAGTACAGCCGGCCCTTCATCGCCTTCCGCCTACAATAGAGCATCAAGGCAGCTAAGAGACAGCGACGAGGAAGATGAGTGCGGGCTGCAAACAGCTGAACCCATGCAATCACTGCAATCACACATTGGCATTCAACGATCCTGCTACAAACTCAGCATCCCAGCATGCATCTGTGCCAAGGCATGCACAGAGTACAATGAGGGTCGACCCTGGTCGGATATTTGAGAAAGACACCTTTCCAGTAAAAGATTAAAAGAACTCATTGTTGAGCAATGCCTAATGGTCAACTGCCACATTTGCGCATGTGAACGAGCATGCCTTAACTTGCAAGCTGCGGGGGGCGGGGGGGTTACCTGTCTGAGTCCAGCTTCATGAGTTTGCGCACATCGTAGCAGAATCGGATGTCTGTGACAGTGCAGCTGGGGTAGGCCTCACTGAAGGTGACATGAAGCACATCAGGTATTTGCACATATGTTTCGTATTACATACAACTGTTCTGAAGCACAGAGAAAGACAGAGCAATGAATATGTATATATACACTATATGGACAAAAGTTTTGGGACACACCTACTATACACACACAAAAACACACACACACACACACACACAAACGTAGACTACAATTATTCACTTCAGGTTTGACTTGCTTGCAACAGAAAATTGGCTGCTGTCACCACTGACATCTAATTAGACACCGTGAAGCCCAGAGCTGAAGTGATTTTTCCGCTGCAGAAGCACATTCAGAAGAAAAGACTGATATGAGCCTTCAGCGCAAGAACCCTGAGCAGCTGGCAGACTGAAAGGGGCAGACTGAAAGGGGCAGACTGAAAGAGGCAGCCTTTCAGGGAGAGTAGCGGTCTGTAATACGTGCCGCTCTTCTCCATGAGCATTGAGCTCTCAGCCATCCGGCGGCCTTGTGCTACTCACTGGAAGTGCTTGGTGATGAGACTTGGGTCCGAGATCTCCCTGGGGATGCCGGTGATCATGAGAGTTCGGGCCACCTTCACAGGCAGGGGGGACAGAAAACCGACTCAAGGGGCACCCCCATGACCTCAGCGTCAAAGCAGCATCACCATGTAATTTTTTAGTGCAGCGATTCATTTGGGTTGCGGTAAGTTCTGAAAGGGTCGCGAGGCAGAGTTGGAAATGCATTTTAAAACCAGCGAGCTCCTTTGCTGATGCAGGGACAGATTTCCCAGCCCCAACCCTAGAATTAACCTATATAAACGGGTCTTGGATCAGCAAATGCTTAGTGCAAACCTAGAGAACACTCAACCAATCCGAGAAGCCAAACCACAGATGCTTAATTTAAAATTCACTGGCACATCCAATCAGATTTGTGCGATAGGCATTGATTGGCATAAATTGCAGAGAGCACTGCGCGGTTGATCATAGCATTAATTTAGACCTATACTTTTATATAGGGTTGCGACTGAGCTGGCCTGATAAAAAGATGAACCATTGTTTCAGTGCATGTTGTTCAAAATCAGGTTGGTGGAGTCAGCTTGGCTGAACATATTGTTGTTTGTTTTGATCCAATCCCACAATGCACTGCTCTGGTAGCGAGAGAGAAATCACCCCAAAAACCAGGGATAGAGTGTGTGTATTCGGAATGGAGCTACAGCTGTGAACAACTGCCTTTGGATAAAATATAAGAACAAATAGGGGGAGCATCCTGTGGGACCATGCTCACCCTCTCATCCTCCCTGTACTCCAGTCGTGACGAGTGGTGTGCCATGCACACAGAGGTGATAATGAAGTACAGCAAGGCAAAGATGCTATGCATCCACAGGAAACTGTCCCTGCAGGGAAGAGGTGAGACAGGCTCAGCCACTAGGGGCCACTGTAATGCCACTTAAAAAAACAACAGAAAAGCTACAATATGCCAATCATCTTTGTTTTCTTTCCACTAGCTAGCAAAACCAATTAAAGCAAAAATCAAAGCAGTTTTATAAATAAAGGAAGGTTTATGTAAAAGCCTGATGAAATCTGGCTGCAGGATAACGGTCACAAAGGCTGTACCTGTCACAGTACTAATGAGCTGGAATACAGCATCAGCTGCAACTCAGTCCTACACAAATAACCATCATTCACCTTCGCCTCGGTGACTACAGCAGAGGTACACCCTGGACCAGAAGCCCCTCCATCACAGATAAATATTTACACGCTCCCCTTCAAGATAAATGAGGAGCTACTCCTTTTGCTGACCTCCAGCTAATCTGTTCTCCAGATCTATATTTGCCAACTGAAATCTCTGCATGCTGAAACCAACATGCAAAGCAACATGCTGTCTGGATTTTAAAATCTATATTAAAGTGTCCACATAGGCTTATTTTTCTGAAATAATATCACTTGCTACAATGAATAATATCCTTGGCAAATTAACAAAACAACCTATTTTAGTATGTAATTTCTAAGCACGGCAGTAAAATGGATGATTAAAACATGCAGTTCGACTCACTCTGCAGGAATATTGGCTACTGTCGTTCTACCAAAGTTCTGAGGGCTGTCATCTAGAAAAACGAGAAACACCATAAACACACAAGCATTATAAAACATGCTGTTTGGGTGATGAAGTCAAGTCTGAGTGAAATATAAAACCAATCAGGATGCTGGTTACATCATTATCCACCTTAAACAGGCAAATCCGACAGCAGCACACACTGCTACTGACATCAGCTCTATTAAGGACAACATTTTTGTGGACTTAGTAATGCCTTAAGGTGCTAATGGGGCATAGCTGTGGCTGGCTAAAAATTAAACTTAAATTAAACCTATCAAATACAATTTAGAAATTTTATGTTTCATGTGTTAGCAAATAACGTTTATGCCTCACTTCACTTGCAATTTAGCATGTTATTAACAAGTGTTTGCAGGCTTTTAAAGGTTCCTTAACAACTGGCAAGAGTTCGTTGGTCAAATTAATGATGAAATGACGCACTTGGCAGACATTGGCTGTCAGAGGGACTTTGTCCTGTGGGATCACAAGAACCTCTGGTTTTCATTACGGTTCAGGGCATGAAGTCAGCATTTTAATTGGGGGGGGGGTACAAAAATTACTTCAGCAGGTGTTCTTCAGCTGAAATGCGTTCCTACAGCTCTCAGGAACATGATCTGCGGATGACTGTGGTCCTATCACCAGAATCTGGCCAGCTGTAATGAGACCTTTTAAGGTCTGTGTCTGAAAACCCCTGGATGTGACCTCTACAGCCTAAACTGGAGAATACAGCACGGCCCTGGACCCGGACGAAGGCCTACAATACCCAGTAGGCTTCCGGAGATGTTGACAGGCAAGATGACGGCCACAGAGAGCAGGCAGACCACTGCCATCAGCAGGATGATGTGGCGCTGGAAGGACAGGTACGTGGTGGCATCGATGCCACACTTGCTCCGGATCTCCTCGTCCCTGTAGCAGGTGGTGGTGGTGGTGGGGGGGATTAGGAGCAGACGAAACACACAACTGTTACTGAAAGGCCAAGATTGACCTGTATGCTTCCCCCCCGGCTGGCTCTTGCCCATCCCTTCGTCACAGGCAGCCTGTGTGGCCCAGGGACACACTGGCAGACCCCGGAAGGCAGGGCAGCGTCCAGAGCCGGAGCGAGAGGCCGCGGCAGCCAGCTCAAGGGCGGCCCACACAGAGCGAGCTCCTCGGGTGGGTTCCCAGAATCCCAGAATAAGTTGGAGGGGGGGGGGGAGGCTGGCGGAGCCTCAAACCCTAAATGACACCGGGCAGAGCCGGATACCCGGCACAGGCTGCTATTTCACTCCGCATGCACGCCAGCCCTCTGCGATTGGTGAGATTCACCCAGGATGGGAGACGACCTCATTTGTTTCTACAGCTTAATGAGGCCTGACATGCGGGCCGGAATGACTTCAGCGCTCATGTGTGCATGTGGTACAGACACACAGACTGACACACCGACACACACACTGACACACCGACACACAGTTCACATATTCTTATCAGAGTGTGGGGATATTTGGTCTCTAGAACGTAATATAAACATAACACACACACACACACACACACACACACAGACTTACTTCATATGATAGAGGGATGTCAGCCAGGAGCAGAAGCCCTGAAAGAAGAAGGAAATGAAAGGTTACGCCGGCCGTTCGGTAACGACGGTAAACGGCCCACTTGTGACTCAGCTGGGCTGGCAGCTGCTGGGGCCGTCGGGAGACGTTTCAGCCCACACACTGACAGAGAGGAATTAATTTTAAGACGTCTAGCCAGCTCGCCCTCGGGGGGGAGGGGGGTCCCACTCACCACGTCCTTGTTCTCTGTGTCTGAGGGGCTGGACTCGGATGGGGACTTCTCCTTCTCGCTCTGCTCCCCATAGAACAGGGACGTCAGGCTGGAATGTGTGAGGACACAGAGCTGGGTTACACTGGGGCTGCCCTAAGCAGGTGCTAAACGGCGGCATCCCTGCAGGTGCTGCTCCAAGCTGCTCAGCACAATCAGTTTTATTGCAATTTGCTCCTGCGGCCCACAGACATGCAGTTCTGCTAATTGGCGTCTTTGTATTGTGTTGTTGTCTGTGTCTGTGTGCATGTATGAGCCCTGAGATGGACCGACAGGGTGTTCTGCTGCCTGGGATAGACCCCTGATTCGACAGGAGCAAAATGCATGAATACAGGGTGAGGAGAGCAGAGAGCTGAGGAGGTTCAGGCACCGGTCTAGGATGCCTTGGGGACACCTCCTGGAGGAGGTTCCTTAGGGATGTCCATCTGGGAGGAGACACCAGGGCAGACCCAGGACATGCTGGAGAGATTATATGTCTCGGCTGGCCTGGGAATGCCTTGGTATTCCCCCTGGAGGAGCTGGAGGAGGTGGCTGGGGAGAGGGAGGTCTGGGCATCCCTGCTTAGACCGCTGCCCCTGTGAGCCCGACCAGGATAAGGGGTAGAAAATGAATGAATGAATGAAACATGAATGAATGAATGAATGTATGAATGAATGAAACATGAATGAATGAATGAAACATGAATGAATGAATGAAATATATAAGTAGCATGTTATTATTTACTAATGGGCCGAAACCAAGGTATTAATCAGCAAGCACCGATTAACATGGTAATCTAGGATTAACATTCCAGATTTTCTCTGAATTCCAATTAACTCTGCACAGAAGATCAGATTGAACAGGTAAGGATTCAGTGTGATTTCCCACCTTAATACGCTGGAGAATCAGCAGAGCTCACAACAGAGAGGTTCACAGCAAATAAATAAATGCACAAAAATACATAAATAAAACTATGGGGGTACAGACAGGCCCCACAGACTATCGTGTGCTCCTCAGACTCCAGCTGGTATCTACAGAGAACACACTGGCACAGTCCCACCACCCACATCCAATTCAGCAGGTGCGTCTCCTCAAAGCATGAGGCTAATTCTGGCGACGCAGGACAGGAACAGGTTTCAGGAACGACCGCAGGCAGCCATGTATAAGAGGGCGCTCGGGCCGGCACGCAGCAGGACACGCCCCGGAGTGCTGTGATTGGCTGAGAGGGCAGAGATGCGGATTATAAGGTCCTGGTGGAAGCTGCAGTTGGATGTAAAAATATTTGCCAAATGAGTCTTCCCGGCCCACCCCCTCCAGTGTGGGGGTGGGGGGCACGAGTGGTTTTCTGCCAACCTGAAAGTTTCAGCAGGTCCCACAGGCTCTGCTTTTAAGCTGGTGAGGCTTTTAAATGTGTAGATAAAGAATAATTAAATAATTCTCACAGATCTGGAGCAAAATGGACCTCCATGATACTGGGGGCCCTGGTTTTTTTTAAATCACTGTGCTCCATACGTGTCTGAATCCACGTTAACCTCACATCGCTCCAATCTGGGAATGCCACCCCACACATGGTGGCATTGAAGCCATCACTGACCAATGTGCCCCTTTGATTGCCTGACACATTTGACCTTTGACCCCTTTCTGGTGTTTTCAGGTGTCCAGACAGGGGGAGAGGTTCTGAAACGCAGGCACGGCTCGCGCCTTCTGCCAGTGTGAGACGCAGCCTGCTGAATTCTGTAGTTCCAGTGTATCTCCCAACCTCCCCAACAAGAGACATGATGGTTACTCATAAGAATTCAGCCGGCGCAGCTGTGCAAATCTGGGAGGAAACGGAGACAGAAAACACATTAGATACTAGCTTTGATGTTTTTGGTTTGCTTGCTCTTTATGAAATTGAAATGTGATGCATTAAAGCTCTAGATATACCAAATAAGGTGTCTTGTAGGTATAAAAAGAATCTTCAAAAGGAATTTATAATATAATCATGTATTTTGTAACTACCAATTCAATCCAGCAGGTGGGGCCCTTGTAAAGCTTTTGAGAGAATTAAGTATGTGTTGGCAAAATTAGTTCGCAAGATGACTGATGAGATGGCAAACGGTTAGGAAAGGGCATCCATTTTATCATGGTGATGAGTGATGCTTGTGGATTCAAGAGAGGAGTGAAATTGTCCTGCGACACCAGGTGTCACCTCTACCTGTCGTTGTCCATCAGCAGGGCCAGACGCCCGTAATCCCAGGCCGCTTTGCGCAGACAGGAGAAGATCAACAGAAGAAGCTGCAAAACAGAATAAAGGAGCCTGTCTTTAATCCACACACATGCAAACCAACGACTATCCACACACACATTAACACATTGGAAAAGGGCAATAGCACAAATATCCAACCGATCAGAAATGCTGCAGACGCATAGATGGAGTCATGTGATTCTGTGGCAGTTTCTCAGGAGCCTCTCTTGGTGTGACATACCTAGAAGGCCTATTGTAACAGACAGAGAGACTGTCGAACAGGCCCGAAGCAGATCATTCACCCATGATTACACTGCGAGATCCAGTTTCAGCTTTTCATTCAACTGGTCATGTTCAGTGTGTGTTTGGACCACGCATCACTCTTGTGGAATGAACCATAGCTTATTAGTTCCACAAGCAGAACTCAAGCTGGGCAGATTCCTTGGTCGACAGCAGCAGAGGAGTGTCATAAATACCACCCTGATAAAACTGAAGGATTCTGGGAATGGGGTTCCGAGAGGTAGCAACGTTGATGGAGAGCAACGAGTGCTCAGCTTACGGGCCGACGTGGCCATCACTGTCTACAGGTCTACAGCCAAGGAACGTCTCCTTATCACCGCTGAAGGCAGCGACTCGATGTTGTCATGGAAACTAGGCAGGCAGAGGTCACTGCACGCTCTGCGAGATCGGCTATTCGAAGAGGAATGCCGCCGGAAGCGAGGCTGTGTGAAGATTGCTTAATGTAGCATGAGGAGCGGTTCTTACGTACATATTCAGATGAGCAAGCTATAAATTATCAAGTAAACGGGGAATGACCTTCATTGATCTCCATAGTCAACAGTACCTAAGGCAACCTAGGGTTTTCCAACAGTGATCCATCCATCCATCTATCCATTTTCTATACCCATTTGTCCTATGCAGGGTGACTGGGGCCAAGCTATAAAGTATTTAAATATCTTTTTCAGCTCCTCCCCCAGCCAGAATGGGAAATATCTAAGTGTTGAGCTCATATATCTGATGGTGTATTATAAAGTTAGAATTACAGCCAAGACACAGAGTTCATAACCAACAGTGGGAATGAGGCAATGAAGGTCGGTAAACAGAAGATCTCCATGAAAAGTGGGATTAAAAATGGAGAGCAATTAGACAACATTTCAGAACCTCTTTAATAACTAGGCCACTGAGGTTTGAAACAGGTTTGAGCATCGCAACCTCTGCTGGAGAAACCCTCCCATCAATACATCATAGATCTACCACCCATCCATCTTCCATGCCTGTTCATCCTATACAGGGTCACAGGGGGTGTCTGGGCGAGCATCACCGTCGCCTCCCCCCACCCCAAACAAAGTGACTTAGGCAACGACCTACAGGACTGAGTGGCCCTGGGTGCAAGGCAGGGATTAACCCAGGATAGGATGGCAACACATCACAGGGCACACACACACACACACACACACACAGGGTAAACATATCCTTATGGGGACCGCTCA